AAAAAAAAAAGTAGAAGAAAAACAATCACAAATAATGGTATTCAGAGAAAGCGATTTTATAAAATTTACAGAAAAAAAAAAAGTAGAAACATTAAGAGTATATGAGATTTTTTAATCTAAAGTATTATTGCTCCTCATACCGAACAAGTTCATTTTGAAACGCCATTTTCCGGTAACCCAAATTTTTTACTAATAATTTGTTCAAAAAAATTTTTCTCTATTTTGACCGTTGCCAACATTCAGAAGCAGCAACTTGACAGAAAAACCATTAGACCACAGTTTTAGAAGCAGCTGTGAAATAAACAGAAGTGAACACTCAGAATTACTACGGAAATAATTTCTACAAATACAATTTTACATCATATTGCGGAATCGTTGACCGGCATAGATTGGTTCAAACCGCAGTTCTGAAAATTGTTCCTCAACATTTCTAGGTCAAATTGTTCCGTATAAGCAACACTTGACTTCCGGTTTTTGATGCTTAAACATTTTGTAAACAAACTTCTTGTTGTAGCACGAATACGATCCAATTTCACAAATGGTGATCCTACCAACAAACTGTTGTTGTGCAGCCTCCTCCTACAGGTCTTCTGCAATTTTTGTTGGCCATTTTTTGTTTTTTCATAAGCACTTCATCGATGACCTCTTTCTTAGAAATCTTCAATGACCTTATTTCTGAGCTCAAATCTTCTTAGCTTAATCGCCCTTTCTACATTTAACCGATATTCTCGTATGCCAAATCAATTATATTTGATTTTTATTGTTCAGTTCCTTTTATTTATTTATTCACTTGTTAATTCGCTTATTTATTTATCTACTTATTTTTTATTTCTTTTTTTACTTTTGTTATTTTGAAATTAAAAACAACCACTCAATGTTCTGCTTTATTTGATCAGCTCAGATACAGAAGGCATCAATTAGTCAACCCTAAAACTTGCCATTACTTACCAAAATTTATGTTTCCAGTTGAATAAGATTATTTTCTTTCATGCATTCTAAAATTAAAATATTCCTAAGACAAATTTTTAATTTTACTCTTTAAAAACTTCTTTACCGGTGATTATCAATGTAACATTTGAGTATGGCCTTGCTTTTTTTTTTTTTTTTTGCCATTTTTCACTTTATACAGACGGTGTATCAACAAACAAGTTGACTTAGTAGAAGGAAATTAAGTGAAATTAATACCCAATTCTTTACGCTCTGAAAATAAAACATAAAGTCTGTTTGTAAAATTGAAACAAATAATCTAACTTTTTTAGCAGATTTTTTTCTTCCATAATCAAAAATTGATCAGCTAACAATTTACAAGCTTGACTAAGCGTTGCTGCACTTCTTTCAACTGGTAAAGTCAAAAACAAACTTTTTTTTTTGTTTATAGAAAGGTTAGAAATTTTTTGTACACCGTAAGATCACTGTGGACAATTAATCCACAAAACTTTAGCAACAGACAAAGCAGAATTTTGAACGGAATAACTGAACTGTTTCATTCCATTACAAGCTGCTCCATAGTGTCCAGTTTTATTGACCGCAACAATTCCACCAAAAAAATTTGGATGAAACCTTCGTATCCGATCAATTGACAGTTTTGCTGCCTTCTGTGGAGAAAAACCTTGACGCATATTCTCTACTGTTTGATAGCTGCAACAGCAGTCAGAATAATTTCAAATTCAAGTTCCTTTGTAGTCAAAAAAAAAAAAAAAACTTTTCTCTCCTTCTAAACAAAAACTGTCTGTAATGTGCGGAATAAAAAAATTTATTGTAAATACAGCACCTACACTGCACGACAGGAAAAAAAGTAAAATCATTTTCATAATTAGTTAAATATTTTAAAGGTACGTTCAAAAGAAATTCTTGGCATAAAAATCACTACTGTCGATGACTGAAACGCACTGCCACTTTT